GAGGACTCGAACTCGGATCTTTCGGATGGCACGCCTGTGCCTTATTCACTCGATTGCTGGAACGAATGTGCTGTGCAAGTGCTTTCGCTCAAAATGACTTTTCCCCAGGAGTGATGAAATGAGAGGGCCTTTTTTGTAAGACTTTTGACCTAGAATAACAAGAGTCTTTCGAAGTATCTTGCTAAATATGTGTCTTTCATTTGTCTTACAAAATACTATTTACTATCTTAGCCAGAATTGTCTAATTAAAGTGGGTATGTTCACTGGCTACTAAGAATGAATGTCTTCAAAATGTATACCAAAACATAAACAATAGCTAAAATGGGGTTGAGGATTTTAATTACTGCAGAGTTATTTCTTGCAAAATTTAACAATTTTATTGCCAACAGCCATAGTCACTGGTTCAATTAAGATTTATTTTTAATTGACTACTCCAACGCTAGATACGTTCGTGGTGAACATTATGGACGGCGGCAACAGCTGTAACATATTTATTGAGGTACTAATAGTCAAAGCATATTTTTCTAGTTGCATTCATAGTACGATTAAGACGTGACAAATGCTGCGTATGAGATGAAAAGAAACGTATGTACGTATGTATCTCTATTGAACCTTAATTCGCCTCTTATTTGGATTTTTAGCCTGCAGCCAATTTTGCATGTTACCTTTTGTCATGTTTCCTTTGTTTACTGTGGCATGCATAGTTATTACTTACAATGTATTAGACACATCTTGGTTTATAAATATATATGCATGTTGCCATAGCTGGTCAATAAATATTCCTTTTTCTGTTTGTTAGCCCAATTGCTGATGACCGTTGGCCTTAGGGGCATCTAGCTTTGCCGCTTTATGGGTTTATTTACTCCTTACGCTGTGACGCTCTTTCGCCTTTTACATACATATCTTTTATTTAGGTCAATTGTGCCAATTTATCACCAAACCACAGAAATCAATAAAAATATTTGAATTTTTTTATGAGATACAAAAAATACATTTCAGCAAGCGATAATGCTTTCGGATTTTTTATTTAAATAGTTTTCCTCCGATTATTTTATGGCAATATTTGGCGAACAAAAACGAGTGAGAAACTGTTGAAAATGGTATTTCAAAACTGTGTTTAGTGAGATTTTAACGAAAGACTTTAGCAACAAACTTCTTACTACTTATTTTGATTTTTTAATTGAGTTTCATGTAATCGATCATATAAAAGTTTATTAATTTTTTTTATTAAAAACTCATAAAGTTGGGTAAAGATATTTATTTCAGCATTTAAATATGCAACTAAAATGCTGGAAGTTTATTAGTAGCGATAAGTAACCTAATGGAATTGCCGACAATGGATGCTTTCCTATAACAGAATGTAATTATTTATTACATACAAAAGCTTATTTTTATAGCAAATAAATTTGTATTATGTCCCAAGTTTTAATTTTTACTAACTGCATACATTAGAAGATGCATAGGAATACACTGGCGGAGAGAAGTATTGGCACAGCGAGTTTTTTACAATATATGCCACAATTTTTATTCTAATTTTTTCCAAAAGTTTTTTTATAAAAATATAGTTCATTCTACAACAAACAACATAAAAATATAGTTTCTAAACTTTGTGCAAAACTCGCAAAAATTCAATAAAATTCCATGCAAATTTTCAACTTTTTTCTGTTTTTTTTGAATATTTATTTTTTTTTTGGTATGAAGTTTTGCAGCGCATGAAATTATAGTATAACTAATGCCAGTTTGAGGATAGTCAAAAATCGCGCTGATTTTTCAGAGTTTTTTTGTTGAATGTGTTTCGCATCTTTTCCATACAAAGTATTAGTGAGTTTTTTTTTTTTTTATGGAAGAAACTGCGTGAAAAAAATTGCCAAAAATCAACAGCGAGTACTAACTACTTCAAACTTGCACTTTCTCATGATAAAATTTATTGGACAACAAAACTGCATACTAAGAAAAGTTCTAATTAATCTGATTAAAAAGTTGAAAAATTATTAAATTTTCCGTAATTTTGCACAAAGTTAAGAAACTAAATTTTTTTATTATTTTTGTTAGTATAAATCATATTTTTAGCGGAAAAAAATAAAAACAAAAACTATGGCATATATCGTAAAAAATTCTCAGTGCCAATGCTCTTTTCCGACAGTGTATTATAAAAATTTACACACAATTAAAAGTATTACGACCATGAGGACTAGCACTTAAAAAAGATGTCGACATATTAGCAGCTTAAATTTTTTTATGGCATACAAAATGACTTCGCTTAGCGAAAAAATTAAGTATCGAATTTTATCGTAAAATATATTTGTCTTTATGCAGTTTCCAATAGCGCGTCACAATATACGCCTCATTGTTACACAAACCGCTAACATAAATTTCTGCAGTATATGAAAATAAGTTCCAGTAGTTCCAAGAAGTTTGAAGTTAGAGTTTCGCTGTTGAATGACAGTTAATATAAAATGTAGTGCCACAAATCGTCTACAAAAAGTGATGAATATACATATTTAGTAACTAATCGCTGTACAATGTCAAAAAGTTCAATGATGTGAAAATATCCACGTCGCAAATATACTGTCGATTTTCATCATTGATATGTAGGCCACGTTAGGAAAGGGTGTAGGAAGAGTTCCATATCTCAACTCGAAAAGAAGTTGTCCATCACGATTGCCATCCGTGAGTGAGTACCAGCAGTAGGCAGAATCCACTAACGGGATTGCTTTAACAAAGAGAAGAGAAACAATAATTAGGGCATTAGCCTGATGAATTACTTGGCAACCCAAGTGAAGTTACGGGCATTCAAGAGTTCCACCTTCAATATCTGCCCCATTGATGTGTTTAAATCGCTTCGATTGAGGGCCCGGACATCGATACAGAAAGTAGTCGATTGATTCCTACTCATTGCGGTCCATTCTGCAGACAGGATTGATTTGTATTCGCCATCACTGGATCACCGATGTAATAGCGCAGTCGACTGTAGAACTATTAATTAAAGTCTGTTAAGTTTCAGAAGGTCTTCCGGATTTTCTTTTTTAATCGCGGCCATGATTATCTTAAGGCTTTACATTCAACTTGTTTGGTCCACTGATCTGCAGGTGCTCTGAATACAGACCGGCTTCGTGCTCCATCTTCGAACCATTTATTGAGATGGATATACCTTCATTTGCCACTGGATGGTTTTCTTTTGCTTGTGTTATTTTCTCTTACAAGAAACTGTGTATAAGGTGCCTTTGTATTGAAGTCCCAAATCGACAGGAAGTTGTCAATCCTGTACTCTAAGTCAACCTTGCTTTCACTCAGAGTTGATTAGTTTCCACAAGTTGACTTCCTTAAATATTAGGGAGCCATTTGCGACTACAACATGAACAATTAAATCCCCTAGTGATCTACGGCAAAGTCGCCATCCCTTCGGCATTCATTTAATTTAGTGGAGAGTTTCTAATTAGCCTCCTCTATTCTAGGCAGAGAAAAGGCGGGAACTTATGTTTTGTTTTTGTGAACGAGATCAGGCCAATTTTGAAGAGGTCGACTCCAAAGTCATTCTGGTTGCCACATTGGGGTGCTTCTAGTGCTTCTTATATGTATTAGCTCACTTATCCTTGGCTGGAATTTGTCTGAAATAAGTATTACCAAGTCGCTGGTATTGGCGACAAGCTTCATTTTTATTGCTTTAAACAAGTTCGCTATTGTATTGTTTTGTATCGCGAAAGCCGATATGGATATGGTATGGAGGCGTTGTCTATTTTAAGGCACAAGTATTATTCAATTACAGATTTTTAGCGATGGAAATTTAGCGTGGCGATTTATAGGAAACCACTGTAAGAAGCCTGCAAATAAATATTCCTTAAATTCTATAGATTTATCGATAGTAATAGCAACCTCGTGGAGCGCTTTCGCTTTCTATGGATCTACCTTTCCCTATCAATAAGTCTTTTAAGTGTCTTAAGAATACCAGATGTAGGACTTGTCGCCGTGAAGTACTTTGCCTGTGTGTGATTTAACTTCCCTGACCGCTTTCAAGAATATGTGATTGCAAAATAGTACTTTGATTTTATTTTAATCTTATCACTTATGTATAGATATTAAATTTGACTTCTAATGTATTTAAAATGACCACACCTTCTGAGGTACAGCTTTGTTTCTTTACAGGAAACAAAAATGTACATAAATGGTTAGAAATCAACGTTGGTATGAAATTTGATTTCCTCGGGGGCAAAAACATGCTCCATGTTGAACCACAATTAATCAGCTTAGCATAGTGAATTTCTTAAAAAAAAAAAATAAAATACATCGCTTAGGTTTTGGCAAATGAATAGACAAAAACCATTAAAGCATACGCTAACAAATGAGCGAAGATATCAAAAATAAATTAACTTTTCTACTTCAGGTTGTCAGCCGAAGCCTTACGTAGCCAAAAATGCGATTACTTTAATGTACCCAATTCGCTGTGTTTTTTTTTTCAATTTGCAGTTTTTTTCATAATAAATAAAAACGACGCATGCGTTGTTGGCAATTAATCTCTGCTAAGTTGAAAACGGCAAAAAGTGTTAATTAATAAAATAGAAAATACATTGGATGGTGCGTTTGTGGTTCCATTTTGAATATTTGCCATTGTTATAAATTTGTGTGGGTTAATCTCAAGCGGATTTTGTTGGAAAGATCATTAATCGCGAATGTTGTTTAATAAATAGTAAGTGCCGCTTGAGTTTTGTGCGAAACATTTTTTGAATTTTTTTTTTGTTTTGATTTGGAAGTAGCCGCCCAATTTTGTTAGCTTTACATAGTTAAAAATGTACGCATGTATGTATGTATGTATATCAATAATGTTAGATATATTGTCATCGGTGTCGTTATCGATATAACTATGGACAGAATTATCGATGCCGTTCAGTTATCGGTTTATTAAAATTTATTAATAGGTATCGATCACTAGTTATGGATTACTATGATCTTCGTATTCGTAATGATCCAAATTAATTTGAATTTATATTTTCTTTTTCTTACAGCAAAATGAAGCCATTCACACAGCTTGTCTATGCGGCGCTGCATATAATCGTAAGTATATAGTTTATCAGAAATTTTAGTTTAGAATATATTTATTGAATTTTCCTGAAGACTTTCTGGGGGAACATTATAATCGAAAATACAATTTTTTTGAGTTAAGTATGCCGCTGTCGACAGCAGACCCGAGATTGACAGATTAAGAAATACTTTTTCTGGATACTAACACTCGACTGAGTTTCTGCAGATGCAAGATGGATTCCGAGTTCCACGGAAACAGCAGAACTTCCCCGGAAATAGCAGGTCATCCCTCGATTTCGTTCAGTATCAGAATTAACTCGTCCGGTTTTACTATTTTTGTTGCAGTTCCATTGCGTGACGCTTTAAACGCCTTTTTAAATCTCTTACCATTAGAAATGATGGGATTACAAGTGGCAGCACTTATTGCTCTTCGTTAAGAGATATAACTCAGAGACAGGCGTTACTCCTGGGTTACTTTGGTATTTTGCATTGATTTGACTTTTTTTCGGACAGCACGAACCGGTGTGTTCAAAATATTGTTTGGATAGAAATTTTTATGGAGATCCTAAATACAGAATAATTCTAACCAAAATTGGGTTTCCGGTCACTTACAAGATGAGCGAGATCAAGCAAATTATTCCTGAAAAAGAACGCATTAATATGCCTTTTGCCTTTTGCTAGCTGCCCATGAGATAATTTGCCTATCACACATAGTAAATAAGGGATGGATCTCTAGATAAAGCTTGACCAATGTGGGTTCGAAAATGATCTTGAAGTTCGTATTCGTATAATAAATTTGATAGAAGGCAAAAAATTTTCAGTTCTTTACCTTTATCTTTAGATATGCATAAAAAAACTGGTGACCTGCACAGAATGAAAATTTCACACTGTACACGTAAATGTGAAGAAAAGTAGCACACATTCCATATAATTATACCAAAATATTGATTTCACTATAAAAAATAAATTTTTTTGTTTGCAAGTATATAATGCATTAGTGTGGCATCGGGAACCACGAGTGCTCAATTGAATTGCTCTTATTGACCTCATAGGGTCAATGAATATGTGGCACATAGTGTCCTACCTAAACTGCAACCAAGGCATATATGTATATATGTACATATACTTAGTATAAACAGCTCCTCACATTTTCAGCTATTCCCAATACAATGTGTATACTATATGTACATTAGGGTGAAAAAAGTAAAGTTGGAATTTTAATGCTCTCACCCCTATGATTGTTCTATACGAACAAAATATAATATAAATTGTCCATATATTTTTTATGGGGAAAATGAACTTTTCGTAGAAATGGTATAGAATTCTTGAAACTCTTCAGGAGACTTTCAACAACAATACCCAATTGTTTTTTTAAACTATTTTTTAATACTATCGGTTTTTTATGGGTAGCCTTATAGCATTTTCAGTGGTTTTTGGGGGACCAATGAAATAGAGTTACTATGAAAAAAAATTAAATAAACAATGGGGTATTATTTTGCGAGTCTTATGAAAATAAAAACAGTATTCGGATCGAAAAATATTGATTTTTAAGAATTCTATACCATTTCTACAAAAAGTTGTTTTTTTCTCATATAAAATACCTGGATAACCTTAAGTGCTTTAAGCGACACCTAAATATTTTTTGATTTCAACATAAAAAAAAATATTGTTTCGGTGTAGAAGTATCCCAGGTGGTGAGAGCAAAAAAAAATCCGACTTTACTTTCCACATGCATTTTTGGACCACCTTAATGTCAAAGCAATTCATTGAAAATAATTTGTCTGCCAGCCATGTACACACATCCACGGCAGCATGGCGGTTAAGCTGAAACGGTATCTCGTCAAGTTCTTTAATGCACCACGGCTTGTATACTAATTTTCCTTAGATTGCAAGTAATTTTGGCGAAAGTGTCTACAACTCTAGGCTGAAACGTGGGAATGCTGTTTTATAAATTTTCTCTATAACGGATGTTTACTGGTAGCTTAATAATTGCAATTGAATTTGTGTACCTTTTTTGCGGTGGGCTGGAATGTGCTGAGCAAAAAAAAAAATCCGTTAATCTGTAGTTGTCGGCTTTTGGTTAGAAAATTAATTTCCTAATTTACCATCGGTCACGTTAAATTCATTTAATGGATTAAGAATGTATGAAGATTACCAAATGCACTTATGCACATATATATATACATAGATACATACATATATGCACATGCATGTGAATGTAGGTATTCACTAAACATTCCTTGGCTGGTTTTAAACTGGTGTGAAAAAAGTTCAGACAGGCATGGGATGGTAAAGCTTTGTGCAGAATTTCTTTGAGCTGATTATGTTATTTACGAATGTGGCTAATAGGGACATACTACTATCTAGAACAGAGCGAGTTGGGCGTTACTGCCTTAATACCATACTCGTGTTTATACGTGATTTAAGCGTGTTGAGTTAGAGCCGCTGCCGACTCAGTTTCAATCGCTGCAGTATACATCTCGGCAGACGAAATGCCGCAGTACTTATTTCGGGAGTTTTTATGGCTACTCCAGTCCAAGCTCCGAAAACAGCAGCTAAGTCTCTTGTTTTAGGCGTTATGGCTCAGCTAGAGCTGCCACTCTTTATGCCTGGACCTAGGCTCCACAGACAGTATGCATGTGTTGCCCACGATGTCCAGGTTGCACGAACTGGAATTCAAGAGTAGCAATTGAACATAGCCAAGTAACTGTAACTGCATAATCTAAATGGCACTGGCTATCAAGTCATAGCGTACGCTGATGTCATTGCAAGTCTTAAGTAAGTTATGTGGACTTAGCATTAATCCTACTAAGACCGAAATGTTACTCTTCACGAGCAAGCATGAAGTTCGTCAATTTAAGCCTCTCACCTTAAACGGAGTAGAACTTACTGTCTCAACCTAAATCAAGTAACTTGGGATTATGATAGAGAGGATGGTCAATACCGCCCTGTATGCCTGTAAGACGGCTATAGGCAAACAGTTGTGAATGAAACCTCACATAGTAGACTGGATGTACTTAGCTGTAACAGGACATATCCTCTTCTATGGGGTCATCGTATGGTGGCCTGTATTAAAGAAGAATTTGTCCAAAGCTAACCAGGAACGGGTTCAGAGAACGGCATCTCTGCTTGTCACGGGAGCACTACCCACTACATACGTCCACCAAACCTCTGGAAGTAATATGATATCCACTTCTCTAGGGAAAATTTCTCGCCGGCTGGTGTGATTCTAGGTTAAAACAATCTAGCGTTGGAGAGAGTTCTAGCGGACAATCTACGACAGCTGGATTATACCACACCTCTACTCTGTTTAGATAACTAATTCTCCATAAGAATCACAGAGAGGATCGAATGGGAAGGTGCCATAGACCTAAACCCAGTGTCGATGGCTATATAAACAGATGGTTCTAAGCTAAACGAAATAATGATCAGCGGGATTCGCTCTGGTGACTGTTGTGTGGGTACCTGGACACAGGAACATTCCTAGAAACTGCATAACCTACAAGCTGGCGAGGAGAGGAACTTAGCGAATATTCTAAATATTTTGTGATGTATAAAATGCACTAGGTGCTTCAATTTTAGGGGAGGAAAAGAAATAAATGTCTTTCGCCAGTGGTATCACATATGCCTTCGAGCTCTGCCCGGTATCGGCCACTCTAACCTAACTGTATACCAGGAATACACCATTATGGTCTTGATATTGTATTTATATTTGTAACAGACTTAAAAAAATAAGGAAGGTTATCAATTCATCGGAATACTTTTTTTATTATGTATGTTACCGGTCGCCTAACTCTCTGATAAAACTTTCGGCGTTTTTCTTGTCGGACAGCATTTCAAGCTCTTCGCATTCGGGCATTTCAGCCTTTCTTTTCTTATTGCGATAAATAAGTCTCGCTTCCCTCTTCCATTCCCTTTAATGGTCCCATATGGTTCGCGTTGCGTCCGATCGTGACATTGCTCATCCAACCAGTTGTTCTTTCGGGCTCGCTGAAATACGACTACTTCTTCGGCGACGGTACGGAGTGAGCAGGAAATGTGGTTCCACTGCTCGCATACTGCAGTTTGTTGAAGAGTGCTCCATGAGAGTAGGTTTGAGAGTCGAGTTGCGAATGCTTTGGCCGTCTGTACGGATTGCAGTTTTTCGATTTTTCCTTGCATTGTTGGGCGCACACTTTTTTTTCGGAGTGTACGTATGTCTAAAACACTGGAAACGTGCCTTGCGTCTATCACAACTTGATCGTATTGGTTTCTCGTTTTTGATCTGGAAACAGCAACGTAGCTTTATGGATGTACCTAGAACAGTATACCACCATGTTTCGGGCCCCGTAGAAGCCGATATTATTTCCTTGCTCCATTTTCCATTGAAATCGCCAAGCACAATTTTGATATCATCACGTTTGTACGCTCCAAGGCTGACGAGCGTGATAACGAAGAATCTTGCTCAACGTCCAAGGCATTTCTTGGATAGCGGTGATGTCAGCTTTTGTCCTTACGAGGACATCAATCAGCTGGGCAGAGGCACCTTCCCCATTAAGTGTCCAGGTGCCTGCCCTCAAATCGTAGTCTTTTAAACGTATGCCATGGTCGTCATCATCCGAGTTTTTTTTCTATTAACTGGAAGTAGTTTTTACGTAGAGGATCCCAAACCCGGCGCAGAACCCACTGTGACTCAAGGCTCCTCCAATTAGATTGGTTACAATATCTCGCACATTAGTCGTATTATATTTCTCTTTAATGTATTTTAATAACTACGTATATCTATGTAGTACAACTATTATTGTATGTGACTTACATTTCATTTTGTACAATATGTATAAATAAATAAATATTCCTTTAATTCATTTACAGACAATCACCACATTGGTCACACATGGTGCACAAATACCAACTGCAACGAGTAAGTAAATCACATTTCCAAGTACATAAATTACTTTTTTAGTTAAAAAAATATTGAAGAAAGAGTTACAACAAATCGAACCATTTATTACCTATTAACCTAAATCCAATGAAGAATTGGAATGCGATTTAGTTAATTAATATAATCTATTATTTTCCAACTATACGTGTAATATACGAGTATATATGTATAAACTATATAATAAATAATATACGAGTACATGCATTTCTGAGCCAATTTATTAATTTAGTTTTAATCTTAGGGAAAGATATAGGCAAATGTAGGAAATGAAAGGAATAATGCATTTTTCTGTTTAAGTTAAATACTATTTGATAGCACACTATTGCAAGTGAATGTGAAAAATTTTAAATTTATTTACATATCGACTAAGGCATACTTCAACTAACTACATAAGCCGTTATTTGAGTAATAACGCTTGCCATATTTTGTTCTAATGTACTCCAAAAGTTCTTTGAAAATAGTTTCTATGTACTGCTTGTGTAATTTCGATAGATGCTGAAAGCTGATTAAAGTAAAAGTCTGGGCAACTTATAATCAAAAATGAGGAAAATATAGCTCACTTAATTTTAACTACTGATAATTTGCTTTTGCATTGTGTTTTAAAAATATTTAAGTCCCAAGAGATATAGGTCAGATAAAAATGGTTTTGTTCAAAGTGAGCTAACGATAAGTCCGCTCACAAAGGCAAAACACTTATCGAGTGCTTTATTGTACGCTGCCTAATTGTAAAAATATTAGATAAACACATTGAAGTAACATAAAAAAAATTACAAGAAATTGCGAGCTAAAAAGTAATCGAATAATCACATAAAATGTGCGCCAAATGGAGTAGATGTTGGTCGGTTGTTGTATACTACATACAGTCATGTTTGAAACATAAATAAAAAGCAAAGCAAAGTATGGTTAAAAAAATTAGGTAAACTCAATAAATGTGCACAGCTGAGTAAAAATGACATGCATGTGGTTGCGCGGCATGAAAGTGAATGTGTGGACGGCTGAACAAATAGTCAATGAAAAGTAAAAAAAAAAAGAAAAATGAAAAAGTAGGGATGATATCGATACTTTCGCTTGGAAGCAGTATCGATATCTAAGAAATATCGGATCTAAAATATCGATACTTACTCATATCGATATTTTTGACTGTGAAGTTATTCCATATGAACTTAGTTAATTAAAATTTTATGAGAATCCTAAACTCCAAACTACATATATGTTTAATGATGAATTGAATTTGACACAGACAATTCATTGGAAAAGATTACAAGAAAGTTAATCTCGTTTAAGAAAAAAATTTGCGCATAAAATATTTGTAAGAAAAAGTCTTCTTTTATAGTACTTCCCAGGTATATAGGTTTTTAAAAAGATTTCAGTGCTGTGGAAATGTACTTCTATAAACAAAAATTATGAGCTAAATATTTAAATACGATAGTTGCAAAAATGTCTCCTTATTACTTCAGCTGTTAGAATTCCACATACAAATGGAAGTGTGAAGAGTACAGAAACCAAATGTTACGAATGAAATTTAACAAAAATAAATGCTTGCAAGCATTTAAAAAATGAAAGATTTTCTAGTATCTAGATACCGCCGACGGGAATAATATTTCTATTTAACAGCAATTTTTTTAATCAACTATTTCTTCTTTGTTTATGTTCTTCAATAAAAGAGCTAGACTTCCACTAAATTTAGAATTTTCCGCTAGTATTTTCAGTGTACGTATTTATTTCCTGGCATTTTGCTCAAGGCCTTCACAGGCTAATGCGCGTTAAATCCGTGGAGTTACTCACCCAGCTTGATGTCGCGTTCAAGCGTCTGTTCTGAACATTCATCCAGTTCACTCTTCCACTCGAATAGTTGGGCCGTGTAGACGTCGCATTACATCGACTTTGGTGACTTTGGTGAAGCATTTGGGGCGTGTACTCTTTGCACTATATCGACTTTGTTGCATTTGTCGGTTTTCGTTGGCAATTAAGCAGCCATAAAGAACAAGAAGCATCTTAAGCGGAGGAAAAATTGCTGAATCCAAATTTGCCTTAATATCGGGTTTCGATGAGCGTAGTGGTTTTTTGATACCTACTCGACACTTAGATCAAAAGTATCGATACCAAAATTACTTGGTATGGAACAAAACGTGTCGAGTATGTACTTGTATTTACCCGCATCGTTTCATCCCTATGAAAAAGTAAACAAAAAGTTCGCGAAATGAGTAACTACCCTCCAGTACTGCTGGAGTCAATCGCTACTTGCGCTACTGCACCGACCCCTAGGGAAGTAGGTGCTCTATTAACCCGTGGTAGTGCGTATGATGGTGCAGAGTCGAAGCAATCGGAAGCAGAATAGCGAAAAACTACGACAGAGGGCGCCCATAACTCACGCAAGTGACTACTTTAGTAATTACCGGTAGTGCAGAGAGAGCCAATGTTGACTACCGCCTAGGACATTGCCTTGTAAAAGTAATCGCTGAAATACACGGCAAATAGTCGTTCGGTAATCGATGGAGTTTACTTGGTAGGTACCGATTCATCAGTCCTGTAGTCCCTCCCCGTACGGCAGGGTAGTTTGCTACGAATTTGAGAGCTTAGTTGGAGAGGATTTTAGCGTCATACAAATTTTTATCTTGTATATCTTGTAACCTTAAACATTTTTATTTGTAACTCAATGTAAGAGAGTTTAATATAGTGAAAAGAAAGTACTATATATATGTATATTAGAGTGGCCCGATTTTTGTACGGAGAAAAATAAATTTCATCCTAGGAAATGGAGCACCCCCTTAGTGTTTTCCTTTTGATATTTTAATATCTATACCAACTTTCAATTTTCTAAAATGTGCTACTGGATCGCTGTGAAACTAGCAAACATTTTTGTTGATTTTTATAAAATGCTCCTGTTGCCATGACAACTGCAGCTTGTGATATTTTTTAGATAATTTAAATTTGAAATGCTCTTAGGTTGCTTAACCAATTTTTTTTATTAATATATGTACACAATATTTCTATAGTAAAATATGAGCATCATGAGCATCCTCTAAATTTATGCTTAGAAACGTAAAGTTTGGTACCAGCACCTCTTTCGGCAAGAGGAAACATTTTGGAAGGTGCCCCAAGCCCTACCTCGGAAAAAGTTTGTTTGATCAACTCTAATATACATAAATATATCAACCTAACTTACCACTTCCGACCAGTAAACTTAGTTATCTGAAATTCTAGTTTAGCTATAATAACATTCTTTTATCCATTATATCGCTATCTTTTCTCGTTCTCGATATATTTTATATTGTCATTTTTTTGCGTCGGCCGCCCTAAATATATCAGAATAAATTTTTTGGGAATATATGGATAAAAAATCTGGGCTCTTCTGTTTCGAACGAAATGTAGCTTACAACATACATACATATGCGACGCAGCACGAAGAAACACACCTTAGCGTCCAAAAATTCGATTTTTCATTTTCCATTCATATTTATAAATTTTGAGTTGCTACGTTTTCTTTCGGCCATCCCGTAAAATTTCCCAAAGGCTGCTTTGGTTTACATGAATTTTTACCCCCAATAGAGATAAACATAGGAGTACATACATATTGTGTATTTACCTGTTGGCATTAGCAATTTGTGCCAATTTGCGTAAATGACACATTGCTGAGTAGAGTTGCAATTCGAGTTGTGCATTTGTAGTTGCGCTAACAATTGTCAAATTGCTGTCCTAATGACAAATCACAAAGCAAGTGATGGTTGAAGTTGATATGCGAATAATTATTTGATAAAAGTATTTCGAGGTTGATTTTTGTACAGAAAAAAGATAAGAAAATTATATAACTAAATCAAAAAATATGTACATACGTACATGATACAAAAAAGAATGTAGTTTCATTACTACTATTTTTTGATTATAAAGCAGATTTTTGACATTTCTCCAGATGCAAACATTAAGCATAGCTTTGCCACATTGAATTTTTTTGAGAGGGGAGATTTTCTTTTAAATATTTGGGATTTAATAAAAGAGTAAAATTTACATACCAAAAAAAAAACAAGTTCATGTGTTCGATAATCAGATTTGAACGTTCTTCTCAAGCGTTTTAAAGATCCTTTGAATAATATCGATTTGCAGAGATGAAGTAATACGAAAATCCAGTTTTGAAACATTTATTATTATTTAAAAAAAAAATTAATAAATTTACATGAAAAAACTCTTTTTTATAGTCCGAAGAAGATGTATTGATAGATATTTCGTCATTAAAGCATAGTCCGAAACAGGCTTCGGAGAAGGTTGTATGGGCTAATTTCCTCACATTTAAACGAGTCACAATTCAGAATTCTCCCGAAGTGAAGTATCCAGAAGTAATTCAGGATACAAAACTGTCGTGTAAATCTAACGTGGATCACAAAACCTCTAAAGAATTGGCAGCGTTTTGGCAATGTAAGCAGGTCTTTGGCAAAACGTGGGGTGTGTCATCATACGGAATCCTCTGTATTTATACCTCTATGATCAGACCCATAATTATCTATGCGTCAGTGGTATAGTGGAGCAGATTCTCAATCAAGAGCGTGGGAAGTCTGCTTGCTAAACTTAAAAGAACTACTGCCGTGTGCTGTCCTGAAGCTTTCTCTACAATACGTGGCGCTGCTCTTGATGCACTGCTGCACTTACCGTCACTTCCCACGAGGGGAAGCTTTAAAGACCATCTGCAGACTAAAAAGAAACGGATGCTGGTATAACACTGAGTGGCGCAAGGCGGAAATTGCTAGCGGCAGAGATCTGAGCACTTGTGTTCTTTTCAATGCCATAGGATAGTATGCCACCTTTACCTTTGTTGAAGAGATTCTGCAATGTTTGTGTTCCCTGCGGCTGAATGCTGGTTTAATACCAGCACTGAGTCCGGAATCACCCATAATCGAATCTTCAATGTTGGTTCCAAAACTGACTCTCTTCGACTTTTCTCTGGGGAAGTATGCTTCGGTCTTCCAGGCTGAGGTGTTTGCAGTGAC